TGGAAAATGAACAGGAAGCCAAGAGAAAGCTGTATCTAATCGCAGCTGTAATATTAATTTCCTAAATTTTGTGAAGGTGTTTGTCTCCACCCTCACCACAGGTTGGAGAAAACTCACTCTTCACTTGGTTTTACACTCATGTAAAGATGAGACATGGGCTTCAGCGTGTGAATGCTGTACTTACCACTTTAGCTTAAGCTGATATGCTGGGTTTATTTCAATTTTGAAGGTCAAAAGTGGAAAAATGCCTTGCCCAATTAGTCTGGTACTTCCTGCTAGTATTGTTTTTAGTTAAAAAAAAATCCTACAGTGACGATTTAAAACACAAATTATAAAGAATCTGATTTATGACAATATTTTCTTTTAGATTTGACTTGTACATCTTGACTTTATTCTGTGATACACAACTTTTTTATTTCTACTCTTATCCTCATGGTTGCTGATTAAACTTACTAAACAGTGTCCATCTTTGCTTTTTCTAGGCTTGTGGACTCACAGAAAGAGATATTGCTACAATTAAATTACTGAATGAAACTAGAGATATGCTAGAAAGGTATAGAGAAATAACTTGTATTCACATTAAACTCCTCACAACTATTGTTTATGTAAGACAATTACTTTCATATAAAAAAACTGTCAACTTTTCATTTGTGAAATGTGAGCGTTCTGTATTAAATTTTTACGTTCACTAATTGTAGGCTGGGATTTTCAAAAATCTGGGAACTCTGAAACTTATTTGTAAGAAATAATCCTGCCTTAATGAGGTAAACCAGGATGTCCTTCCCAGTCAGATCTCTTATCTGTTCCTCACCTGTTCTGTAGTTGTGCAGGAACAGAAGAGTACTTCTTTTCTGCCAAAGCAGGATAAATTGAGAGTAATTTTATTGGATTTACTTGATTTGATAAAGTGAACACCAGTATTGGCTTACTGGAATTTATTTTTAGTGCATGGTTTTGAGAGTGGTTGTATGTGTACTTTTACCAGAGAAAGCTATCAAAGTGAGGCTTCTAGAATAAACACAGGATATGAGGGAATTGAGACAAATGCTGAACTATTCTTACCATTTAGCTGCTAGGGATCTGGGGCATTTTAAGGGTAAGTCCCTTCTATGTTATTACTTAGTAAGAAATAGAAGTGAGAAATGCTTTTAGACTTAACTCCGTTTTAGGGTAGAGTCTGGGTTGTTGAAGGAGCTGGTCTTTGGTGAGGTGGCAATAGTAATGGCATTTATCTGGGTTGTACATGCCCCCTTAGGGGAGGCACATCTGAGGCACTGAACACTTGCAAGGTTTTTTAGTTGCAAAACATAAAACCCATGAGTCAATCCTTTTATTATTATTATTGTTATTATTATTATCATCATCATTATTATTTATTTTCAGTCCAGACTTCAGTACGGTTTTGAGCACATGTTTAAACAGAGGATTCAGTCGACTGCTGGACAATATGGCAGAGTTTTTTAGACCTACTGAAAAGGACCTCTCTCAGAATGGCTCTGTAAATAGGTAAATATTTCCTTCTGTTGTGGTTCTCATGTCACTGGTGTTTTGCGTTCATAGTGAATTCCAGAAAGCCTATTGATTTTCCTGCCTTCTTGAAGTTCTCTTGCTGGAAGTATTATTCTGCTTCTTGCTCTTCAAGAATCACTGCATTCTCCTTGTTTTGTTCAGGTAGGCAGCTAAGAGGATTTCATGGGTGGAAAGAAACATGCAAGAGTATAGGTGAGGTATCTTTCCCACCATTACTTGCAGATCTAGAAGTAGAAATCAGATGACCTATACCTTCCACTGTTTGCCTGAACACTGTACTGGCAGACTGCCTTTTGGCCTAGGGAGGGTTTACCCCACTGGTGGTGATTACTGGCAGATGTGCTGCAGTACCTACCTCCCTGTGAGGCCATAATGAAGAGCCTTCCCCTGCAGCTCGCGAGCCCTGTGCACCCCAGTCTCTGTCACTCTGGTTTTCAAGGAAGCTGGGTGGGCATTGCCGTGATCCTCCAAATACAGGGAGCCAAAGCATCTACAGAGCTCTAGGTTCTTTGCTGGTATGTTGATAAAATATAGTAACGCTCAGGATTTTCTACATATTCCTAGAAGACAGCTTAAAAATAGCTTTTATTTCGAAGTTAGCTTTGGTTTTAAACAGTGAGGTGAGACTGTTACAAATTCAAAAGCTGAGTTCAAATCCTTGAAATATTATTTCTCAAGTATTAAAATTAAAACCTTGAATGTTTTATGTATGTTTATTTTAGTAACTGATGGCTTTCAGGGGGTCTTATTTTTATTTAAATATATACTATTTACATCACTTAAAATACCCCAAAGAGTGTAGTTTGGTTGTCTGTCTTAAGCCTGGTTTAGTTTGAAATAGTGTGAGACTTCAGACTGGCACTTCTATCACCTGTCTACATATGCACACATGTAAAGGTTCTGGCTAAACCATAATTCGCTTGCATGAGAAGCAAGTATGAAACGTTGTGTAATAGGAAGACCAACTGAAATTAGCTTTGGTACTCCTCTATATTAAATGAAAGGCTTGACAGGGAAAAAAAACCCCTTCATCTGTACGTTTTAGTTTGCAGTCTTGCAATTCTTACTTTTTAAGTAGTAATTACTTAGAATTCTAATAATCACAGTTTAGTGGTTTTACCAATGTCAGAGCAGTTCTAGGTCAATATTTTTTGGTTTTTTCTAGTCTTTCCAGTGTCAGTCTTCCTTTAGCCAAGATAATTCCAATAATAAATGGGCAGATCCATTCAGTATGCAGTGAAACGCCCAGTCACTTTGTTCAGGTAAGAATCTTCCTTATTTACAATATTCCAAGTAAAATTTTGAAATGAATGTTGTATATTTCTTTTTAATAAATTCATTCTTTCTACTTTCACTGGCTTTTAAAAAATGGGAAACAATTGGCATAAAAAGCTTTTTGTACATTTATATCTTCCAAAAATATGCTGTGTTTCTAGAACCTCTTCCTTCTGTTGAACTGTGCAGATGCACAGACAGGTCTTTTAACTTGGTTCGACTTGCAGTTCTGCCCACAAACCTGTCTAAAGCAAGAAATTTGAGTAATGTGTCTGTGGAGGCACCAGGTGTTTTTCTCATGATGAATTCTGTACTGCAGCAAAACCAGAATGGCGTTGGATGTGTTCAATTAAGCAAATTTATTTTTTACATTTCTTCCAGGACCTGTTAATGATGGAACAAGTGAAAGATTTTGCTGCTAATGTTTATGAAGCTTTTAGTACCCCTCAGCAACTGGAGAAATGACTCGCACACTTTTAGGAATAGATGGTGTATTTATAACAAATCCCTTGCAACTACTGGTGAGACTTGGGTTAATTTTTTAATGGTGTAGGAGTGGCAGACCAGCAGAAAGAACACTCTGAGAAAAGTGGGAGTGAGCCCATATTTTTTCTAATAGAATTATGTTTCAAGCACCCATTAAAAGTATTCTTGTTGAAAGAATCATTGTATGTAAAGACTTTTCTATTAAAAAAGTCGTTAAATTCCTCTGTATTTAATTCGATTATTTTTATTGCATCTAAAAGGCATCTGGTGGCGGTATTACAGCAGGTTACTAAAAAACCCATTTGTTTGCCCTGGAGTGTGTAAGTTTTGAAAAGAACTAATGATAGTGATCTAAGAATAGCACAGAGTAGGAGAATGAAGTAATGCTTTCTGCTTCTTCTCCCCTCAAATTTTGCTTTTTATAAAGGAAATTTATTTCACTTAACTTTACAAACATTATTCCAAAGTCTCTTGTTCTTCAGAAGGCCTTTGCCAACAGATGCACGTTCCTCTTGAATGAGCTGGGGGCATGCTCTCTGTTACTTAATACTAAAGGAATGTGGGTTTTTAGATGTTCTCTTGTTTATGCTGTTCAAACAGCTACACTGTACACATTACCTTGTAAATATTTTATCTTAATTTGTATTAATTTTGAGCCCAATTGTCTGTATTGTAATAAAATATTTTAATGTAAAATTTGTGCGTGTATTAACATTACTAGCAGGAAAGGGAATAACCAAATTTGGCGCACCACTCAAAATTCTGACATAGTTGAAAGAATAAATTTAACTTACATAGTAATAATTTTGCACTCAGCAAAATTAGTCAGGAAAAATAAACCTTAAATCTCTACACTGAAGCAGAAACAACTAATACCTTCTGTTGTGCTTTATCTCCTCCTCTTTGCAAACTTCACATTGTGTGTCTATCCCTAGAAATGGTGACACGTGATGAATTTGGAAATTTTTCAAGTTGGATGCAGTCTATCCTCTGCTTAAAATGTTGTCCTTGCCAAAGTTGAAGATCCCTAGCAACTCCTGATTATTTCTCTTTTTTCAAGAGTTAAGTTATTGAAGTATATGCTTTGTTTAATAGTCTGCAGAAGGCACCCTGGTAACTGTGTAAAAACAATGGCTGTAAACAAAAGTCAAGCTTTACCCATGTAAAATTATACAAAACAGAAAAAAAAACCCTTCCCAGTTTACCTATGTCCCAATAATGGATAAAATTACTCAAGAGTAGGAACATGTGAAATGAATGACTTCCATGATGAGAAATGATGATGTACATATGCATTACCTCCATGCATTTGTGAGGAATTCCTAACCATTGCAGGCCTGTTCTTCCCGATGTTACCCTACTCAGTTGAAACTGCTAGCTACCAGTTGTTGTACACACCTGGAAAAAGTTTATTCTTTTCTCCAAAACTCAGCTTTTACTGTGCAGTTTTGTGGAAGTTGGAGTTCTTGCATTAAAGAGGGTGTCCAACTGACTTACGTGCACCTGAACAGTGGCTTGAGCTTTGTTTTTTGAGCTTTGCCTGTTTGTCCCTACACCACCCCCTTCCCCCCCTCCCCATTCTTCACATAACTGGGCCAGAAACTGACTAAAACGAGTAGAGAGGTCAAGGTAGCTGCTCAGTTTTTCACACAAGTTCAGAGAAGCAAAAATATATGCAGAGGATCAACTGTCTCATGGTAGACTTCGTGTGAAGTTTGTTCCATTCCTTTATAACAGCCTACCTTTCATAAAAAAAGTGAATTTATTGGTGTTTTTACAGGCAAGTAAGTTCAAAAACAGTGATGAGAAACAGCAAAACATCAGCATTCCCTGCTAGCCAGGGCTCCAGCAGAGTATGGCTCATTTTATGGCAGTCAGTTGTAAAGTCCAGCCCCACTGGCATGGCAATTGCTTAGGAGTTAATTGAGGTAGAGCTATAATCAGTCCCTTTTCTCCCAGTGCAACCCATTTCAGCAGTTCCTTGTAGCCAGCCAGCTTTACCTAAGATAGAAACATAGACTATAATTAGAACAATGCCTTTTCAAAGTGCATATAATTGCAATATTGACAAAATAAATATTGATCTATAGCCACCTTTCTAACCAATTATCCTTAAATGCCACTTACCAACCAAATGAGTGATAATTATTAAAGGTAATGGAAAAATACTTGCAATGTAGAAATGGAAGTACAAGTAATAAAGCTAGTCATGTTGGGTCTTGAGAAGTACTTAGGGCTGTAGAAGGTAAACAAGCACCTTTCAGAAGTATTTGGGATGGGATTTAGGTCTAAGCAGGGATCTAGGTGCTACAGTACAGAGCTTTGTATCACCTATTTCTGAAATGCCTACTTCCCATGGTGGAACTTGTAGTCTTGAATGAGTATCACTGTTTCTTACAGAGTGCAGCCAGGTACCTCAAAAAAGCTGACCTGAATAACCCCCTCCCACTAAAAACACACAAATAGGTTTATGGTGACACTCCTTCTTAGGCAGCTGGTGGCATGCTGGAGCAGCTGAAGACCAGTCTCTACCACTGAGGAACAGTACTCTCTTGTGCACATGGAGTCTAGCTGCATCTCCAAAAGTCAAGATGCATCTCCATTACTTTTGAAATTACTCTTTCTTCCTTATCACAGAGCTATCTTGGCACCTATTAGACTATTTTCATATGGAACTAGACCAGAAGCAGCTCTAATGCATTTCAGCAGCTAATGGACATGAAGTGCATGAGACCAGAACAGAGCTAAGCCAAAGTGAATCTCCCTCTTAAATGCATAGAGTTGATACCAACTTCTGCTTCCATTGGGCCACGCTTCTTTCTAGAGTAGGTGTGGCATCAGTGTCCTCAATATCTGACCTCCACTTGGTGTAAGATGAACATCTAGGGTCACACTGACTTATTTTAGCCTCCCTGGCCAACAAAAACCTCTGTGTGCATTCCCTCTGTGCGCATTCCCTCTGTGCAAGGCTTTAACTTGAAACAACTGCACCATTACAGCAACTCCAATATCACCAAAGTCACCAAAGTGAGGACAGCTACTTATAAAGCAAAGTCATGCCAAGTTAGAGTCAACACAGGAAAAAGGAGAAGCAGCACAGTTTTTTCCCTGCTACTTGGCCTCTTCATGATTCTTAGTTTGCAAGCTAAAACATATCCCGGCAACATCTCAGTCTAACTTGGTTAGTTGGAGAAGAAACATCCCACTGGAACACTACAACAAGGAGGTCTGAGAACTAAAACAAATATTTTGCTGGATCTCTTCCAATGTACTCTGTCCTAAGAGCTATGCATTCCTAAAGATGCCAGAAACTTAAATAAACATGATGGAACATGACAAATCCTAGAGGGAAGGGCACATGTATGTGTGTGTGTGTGCTGTCTTTTACCTGTGTTTCTCCAAGCTTAGCCTGTGGCTCACCAAGTTCCAGAATTCCAGAGACTGGCCAGTTAAGGAAGACAGCATTGACTGTCCCTTCTTTAGGGCTGAAAGTGTACCTGGTTGGAAATGGGGAACAGAAATGCATGTCAGTTTTTACATGTAAATTTTCTGAAGTGCTACATAAGAGTGTTTCAAGATTAGAAAAACAGATTTGAAAAGTCAGCATTAGTTACATTTTCACACACATAACCATCTTTTCAGATGATTTATACCCTTTAATAAAGTACTGCTCCTTGAAAATGTGTTCCAACAAACTAGAGGTAATTAAAACTATTAACTGAATTCAGAGGTAAACATCTGTAGTTACTTTAGTACACGTGTAACTCTCTGCTGCTCAGCCATATAGGAAGGAGATACTTGCAGAAGGGGAATCCTTAACAGAGAATTGTAGGTTATATTCAGAAAAATGTGCTAATTCACATCTATATAGCAACATACAGACTAAAAAAAATTAACAGGTATGTGCAACAATAGACCTTCCACCTTGTATAGCTAGTTTTTGAAAATATTATTTTCAGCATATACTATCTGCACTATTGCCATTGGAAATCTTGTGGCATATCTCCGAAACATACCCCCCTCCTTCCTTCATTTAGTTACAACTTTTTATTGCTCTTGAAAGTCATTTTACTAAACAGTCAGCAGTTCAGCATCTCTCGGCTAGAGCCAGATGGCCAAATTTTACTGGGAACAGGAGTAAAAAGGCCCACTGAGACAGAGAAGAGGGACAAGACCAAAACCCTGATGGATCATTAAGGCGTTACAGCAGCTACAAGTCACAAAGGCTGAGGAGTCCAGAGACCGGCTGTATTTAGGGACCAAACAATTGCTGTTATTTTCCCATGCATTTTTACCTTAAAAAAATGCAGAATATGCTAGACTTGTTTCTAGTTTCTTCCTCTCCCATTTTTCTCTTTAAATATCAAGTGACATCAAGTATTCCTTTCTACAGATAGACACTTCATAGCAATTTTATATTTACAGATTTGTATATTCTTTGTTTCTGTTGCCAACTACACTAAGAAGCACAAGATCACTAAGGAAATGTTTGCAGTCTTCCCTTCAGCCTCAGCATCATTCCCAAACTACAGTCTCTACCTACAGCTTTATACATACTTCTGTGTGCAGTTACTTAAAATGACAAAGGGATTAATTTCTTCACCACATACAAACTAAGATGGTGACTTCTGTAGCATCAAGTCATTAAGAATTTCAAAGTTTCACATACATTGGTGCTGCTTTACATTTCGATTCAGTAACCTTACCACACTTCTGGTGTGACTGAGTCATTCTGTGCTCTCCATGGTTTTGTTCCATAGATGGCCTCTCCATTGACCTCCAGCCAAGCACCCATCTGCCTCAGGCGCTCCTCGAATATAACAGCGATGCGACCATCGTGAGTGGGCCCGATATTCATCAAGAGATTTCCCCCACAAGACACTGTTTCTACAAGTTGCTGAAATGTTTTTCAACACACAGACCATATGATTACGACTAATGAAATCACACATCTGAAGTACTTTCTAAAGTCTGCCATGCTGCTTCAGAACTATGAACCAAATGAGTTATGTTACTGCTGCACGTTGAGACTTATGGGGGTCATCCCAACAGTCAAAATAAAATTTAAGCTCCTATAAAACAAAGCTCTGATGACAAGCTTTACATCAGAAAAAAGCCCAAAATATGTTCTTGCACTAATAGATATCACTGAATCCACATTAGAATCAGATCCTACACATTTTTAACATTGTGACTGCTGCAAGAATGTCATGAGGGTTTTACTGATAGAATAGACAGATGATTTCTTTGCACCAAAGTAGAGTAAGGCTAACAATTGCCACTTCATCTTTACTGAAGCTTAGAGAAGCAACTTCTTCTGTTCTTCCTCTATTTGATACTCTCCCTATTTTACAGACACATCTGTAAAACACCAGGAAGCCTTCTACAGAGTCTGTAAAATTTGTGTTCGCATCCACACTGCCCTCCAGAGATCATGGACTGAGATGCACAAGTCGGAGAAACACAGCTGGAGACAAGCTGCTGAATGAATTCAAACCTTTTGCTTCTGACAAGAGGTTACTTCAGTTTGTAATTGTCTTTTGCAAGGACAGTACTAGAAACAGATTTAGATTAACAATCAATCTCCCCCTCACTAGCTGAATTTTGCAATTAAATGCATTTTTCTGAAAGGCTGATCATCTTTCTTTCATTCAGTTTTCCTAAGCTTCACATCTTTTTTAATACCTTAGACTAGCAAAGGGAATCAATATTCTACTATGACCAGCTGTCTGCATCTGCTAATGTTTACCTGTATGTCTGTACAGAAAGTTTCTTGCTACAAGGTAAAATGCCTATGGAGTCATAAACTATCTGTAAAGGGGAAAAGATGTAGCCTTCAATCAGGAGTTCCTAACCAGGAGCTGTGAAACTGCAACTGTTTGCTTCTCATCAACTTAAAGGTGCAGTTACCAGAAAAACTTAATGGAAAAGGTAATTATGAGACTGTCCAGATCAATCCTCGGCCAGTTACTCGTAGGGGAAATGGCTTCTAAGAAACTCACTGAATTTCTACTAGAAAAACCTTTCCCTTAGTAATTTCTATAAAATTAGTAAGAATTACAAGGACATTCCATCCTGTCAGTGTTAGGCTGCAAATGAACAAAATGGTTTATTATTTCATCAATTCATTATTCAATTAATACTTTCTAGATAGAGACAAGTACACGAATGTCACACTGCTTAATATAAAAACTAGGAGAGAGAATCGGAAGTTGCAGGCAACTCCTCTGCCCCACTGTACCTTCACCAAGTCCTCGATGGTGAGGTAGTCACTGAGCTGCGCATCCCTGCGGTACCCCCAGGACCTCCTGTCGATGGTCATACAGTTCTCCCACTTGTGAGGCAGGAGGTGACCGGGGTTGTACCGGTCACTGCAGGTGTAGTAGCCGCCGTGGGTACAGATGCTGCCAACTCCCCAGCGGTCATTGGTTACAACTGTGTCTCGGACTGGGCTGGAAACAGAGAAATTTTATTATTTTTGTTCTGTAAAATGCAGTCACAGCCAGCCCTTCCCACACACACCCCTCCCAGACACTAACATTCTGGATGACTTGTGTACTACTCATTTACAGATTAAGTGCAATGTCAGGAATTCTATTCTCATCCTTTCCTAGTAAAAGGTCCAGATCGGCATTTCTTAAGAAATATGCTCCAGACTTTTGTAGGACCTCTGCCAGAAAACAACCTGCATTTCACATCCAGTGCCAGATGTTCAGTCTACAATGAAAACAATGTACCCACATTCTCAAATTGTCCTTCTATTCTGTTTCTGTGCAGCAGAAAATATTTAGGAAAGGCTGTGACTAGGCAGAGTAGCCAATACCACCTTAACTGATTAATTTGCAAATGTGTTTCAAAAATATGTAACAGTCTTTTTCTAAAGCAAGCTTTGATAATTCTAGGGAAGATCTGAATTCTGTATTTCAGGAAAATGAATATTTTGTTAAGTCCTCTAAAGTAGAGGTAACAGGTTCCATAAAATAAAGTGAAACAAACTAGACAGAGAGCAGAATTTTAGATAGGGTGCTAAGGCAGTATCATTATGTACCTGTCATTATACAGCCAAGCCAAGAAACCAGTGCTGTTCCAGTAAGTATCTGGAGCATTTCCATTCCCATCAGACCAAATTATTTCTGGCTGGTACTTGGTCACAATTTCATAGAGTTCTGGTAATGATTTACTGGTTGGAAACTTTCTTGTCTTAAAGACATTAGTGGCATCCTCAAGGAAGAGAGGATTAAACCATTCAAACAGGGAATGGTATAACCCGAAATGCAAGTCAGTCCTGTTTCTAACAGATGCTGCTAGTTCAGCAACAAGATCCCGCTTCGGTCCCACATCAACAGCATTCCAGTTCCAAGAATATTTGGACCCCCACAAAGTAAAGCCTGAAAAGAGAAAAATTGAAGGATAAGAAAGAGAAGAAGAAGAGGGGAAGTTATAGTTCCTCTTTCTGGAAAGTGGTTTGGAAGTGTGTTGCAAAAAATAATAAAAATTATATTTGTAATAATATTGTGGTATAAACTGTGCCTATCATTGTGCATAAACAGATTATAATAGTCATAACATCAGAATACCATGCCAGATATGTTTATGTATTTTTCTATACATACACATATCCTAAGCAGTTCTGTACTGCTTAGGATAATTATTCCCTCTCTTTAGTTATTCACTTCATTCATATGTCCCAATTAAATTAACTAGATGATCTTTAAGTCCCCTTCCAACACAAACTATTCTATAATTCTATGAACTTAACCAAAAATACAGCAGCTTTTGAGGCATATATGTTTTTGAAGAAAGTATCAATGTGAACTGTAAATGCACAACTACTGGAAGATAAAACTCTCAGCTGCAGCAAGCACAAGCTATCATTTGCATTCAAAGACTCTTCTCTCTTCTGTTTCCTTCTTATGCAAATGTTCACTTTTCATTTGTCTTGGTATTTATAGCAGCTCAATCAACTACTCAGTACATGTATATAAGCAGAGTGCAAAAACTCCTGAAACAGATTTTAAAATATCAACATTAAATATCAGGAGTCAGGAGGGATTTGACATTTCAGACATCCAGCAATCCTAGCACAAGCACTTAAAATACTACTGCACTGCAGACTCAGACCACTGCCAGACAAGCTACACTCTCATCTTCAAACTGCTTTAGACTCACTGCCTAATAAATCTTGTGACATTTTTGTGAACTGAATATACACAATTGTATCGACTAGACAAACAAGCTAAAAATTCATGCCCAAGGCCACAGGACAGACTAAATGAATCACTATTCTTTTGAAGATTCTTGTGAATTTCACCACAGGCATCATCAAAATCAAAATTTATGTGTATCAGAGCTGAGATAAAAATTTACAAGTCACAAGTTGCCAGTCTTGAACCCACATCTCCCCAAAGACCAAAAACATTCATTAGCTGTACTTGTCATATTGCATCCTAATATACTTTATTTGATACCAGATTTCCTTCCAGCCACTTTCTTTTTCTTTATTTTTCTCTGCAAAGCATCTTACAACTACAGTGCTAAAAATCAATTGTCCCTGTAAAGTTACAGACCCAGTTCAAGGTTTTGGCTTCTATGAGCTACATCAGGAAAAGCTATAGGTTGTGAACCTTCCTAACTCTGAAGTTGACTCCCAGAACATACCCCTAAATTCCTTACAGAGGAATTTAGAGAGCTTGTTAAGTGCCTGCATACAGCAGCTCTCCACATGTTAAAGAGTGCAGAATTCACTTTTATGGTTCTTTCAGCAATAAATTGCACTATGGCTACTGCAGGAAGCTCAGCTGCCACCACCACTTCAGGCTGTCTTACCTACAGCAAGAAAACAGTGGCACAATTTATTGTTCCTCCTATGCAAGCTCCATGACCTCAGCTTCCATGTAAGAGTCCGGAAAACGACTGCACATTTCTTGGGTAGTTTTTTTCCTCTTTGGCTGCAGTAGGACAGGTAAGCCTGCCTGACTTTCTCTATCCATCTTAGCAAGCAGGAAAGTCACCTGCTTTTTTCTTCTGTTGACAGAAATGCAACAATTACTGACATTCACAAAGCTTCCACTTACCTTCATGATGTTTTGAAGTTAAGACAACATATTTTGCACCTGAAGCCTTCAGAATATCTGCCCACTGGTTAGGATCAAAGAATTCTGCTGTAAACAGTGGCCCAAAATCTTCATAACGGAAGCCAGGTGGGTAATTGGCCTCCATAAATTTCACATAGGGCTCTCTCTTTTCCTTCTGCCAGTACCACCTACAAAATACAGAACAAAACATGTCTGCTAATGCATTTTTAGATAAAGAAAAGAGAGTTGAAATCATCAGCTCCTATTTGAGTTAACACTGAGAGGCAGAGGCATGGGAAGTACACGACACTGGCAATAGGACAAAATTGCTCCAGAACAGTATTAATTACCAAAGATTTGCTTTTCTCTATCCTATTTGTTCATGTTCTACATCTTCGAAGCACTCCACTTTGAAAAGGTCCCAGGATTTCATCTGAAGCAATGAAAAAAGCGGCTACACTTTGAGAATGGAAAAATGACAGTCTTGCTCAGTACCCAAATCCCAAAACCATACTAGAGAGCATGCACAGACAGACTGTGTAAGCAGCCCATGTGGCATGAGAAATGCCCTTTTTCTGAAAAAATATGACTCATCCTCCTCAGGTCTCACACCTCAGCCATCAGGCACCTCTGCTCTGCCACCCACATTGCAATTCCTCCCACCTACAAACATGTGGGCCAGCAGCTTTACCTTTCTGACAGTCCCAAGTCCTCTAAACCAAATGCAGTTGATTGACCAGATGCCCACAGTCCCAGGGCAGGAGAGAGCTGTGACCAGTGTGCTACAGCCACTGCACAGGTGAGGCTCTGAACCAAAGGCACCCTACTAGAAGCCATGTCCTGCAACAAAAACCCGACACACACTTAAAAATGCACCTCTGTCATAGTCTCTAACATGCAGGCACACGTCCACCTACCAGGGCACTTGGATTTAGCAACTAGAAGGAAAAATAAGCTGATGATCTCTTTTTGCCTTCCATCTGGCAAAAACAGGGACAGTTTCTATCCTGTGCTTCCCCAAGACAGTGACTGGTATTGTCTCTATTCCAACTGGGCTAGTCCACAGCAGGGCTTGGAGCTCTGCTCTGTGTTCAAGGTTGGTCTCTTGCCCTCATCATGAGCAGAGACCATAAATCACCAGTAGAGCAATATTTATTTTCAACTTGCTCCCTTCCCTACTGAGCAATGAAAGAGGAGCTTCAGAAACACCACACAACAGTCCTTACTGCATAAACAGCCTTATTGCCTTCTAACAACAACATACCATACGACTGCTAATATATACAGAGAAAAGGGTCTGGAACCATTCACCTTTCTGTGAATGAAGACAAGCAGCAAAGATCCTGTTCTAGCAAGAACATACATGAAAACAGATAGTAAGTGAAGGAATAAAACAGGCCAGAATCTAAATGTTTGAAGTATGTTTCTCTCTCCTATCATGAGCTGGACTCTGACCTCAGTTCTTTAAGACATAGTAACTGTCTAGATATTTTGTAACCTTCCCAGACTTCATCATAAACTGACACAACCCCTGACAGCCAACAGGGAAAAAACTCAGAAGAAAGGGGCCAAGACAGCTTTTCTCACTGAAAGAATGGAGGGGTAAAGGGAGGGGAAGAGGAGAAGGAATACGAGGAAAAGGGAAAATAACAAAACAAAAACAAATGAACACCCCCCCCAAAAAAAACCCCAACCGACCTCTGATTTCAAAGTATGTAATTGCATAAATAAACGGTAAGATCCTTGCTTCTCTTCCTTTGTCACGTGGTTTGCTAACATGAGCACTTTGATGCTGACATGATTAGATTCTAGAAACATCCTTACCAAGGCCATGCAGCTGCTAACAAAGGACCTCAGTCGTCTGACTGCACATGCTGCTAGAAGGCCTGAAGCAGCTCTACACCCACACGTGCCTAAGGATTGGAGACTCCGGGAATATAAAAAGCAACTTCATCAACTATATTAGAGAGTTTTGAGGTCTTTTTAGAACAACAACGAAGACCAAATGCTTGATCCTGAATCTGTGCACCACTATCAGATCACTGCACTCAGACTGAGGCTTGAACCCAAACCTAGCTCTATCACACCCCCCCAAAAGTAATTTATTAGTAAATGGAGTCTACCTTAAAAAACTGCTGAAATCCTTGAATATAACTCTGAACAAACCAAATATTGTCAGAAAACAGTTGTTTGTTTAGATCTATATTGGTTTGTTTTGTGAATATTGCATTTAAGGTTCACCACAGCTCTGCCACAGAGCTGCTATCTTCATATTTTAAATGATAATGTGACTCACTTGAAGTCACACAGGAAGTACTTGGTAGAGCATGGAAAGATGAGAGCAGAAATATGCTTACAGCCAAAGGACCTGAACCAGTGAACACTCGCAAAACAAAGGTTTTACTGAGCCTCTGAACTAAAATTACTTAAAGGATCAGAGCCTTGGACTCTTTTAAGTGAAAAGCAGTCCTGAATAATAGTAATAATAAAGGAGAAGAAAACCATCAACAGCACAAAATGTGCACAAGAAAACGGCAGGCTCCTCGCTAAGTAAGGGCAGCAATGAGCTCCTGCACTCCCTGCAGTGCTCCAGCAGTTGTACCAGGCTGTTCCAGGGGATGGAAGATCCTCAACACCTGTTCCCACGGGGTAGAACCCCTTCATCCATCCCTTCAAGGTGGTCCTGGAGAAATCTCCTGCCACTTAACCAACCACCTCTTTCACCAACAGCAAATCACATCTCTCAGCTCTGTGAGATCTCTCCTTAATTTAGTTTCGTCAGTCAAGGTATTCAAGTTTCAGGGCTGAGCAGGCAGATGGTCAGACACACCAGAAACACATCAAACTGTGCTTCCTTCGAAAAGGCGCCATGGAGTCCTTGGCCTTGGCCGGACACAAACCTCTTCCCACACACCTGAGCTCCAGGGTCAGCCTGCAGAGGGGCTTTAACCCAAACCTCCGCTGTACCGGGGTGGACACACCCATCCCCGCCTGCCCTAGGAGCTGCTTTCCAAGCAAACCCCTCGGACCGCTGGTACGACCCGTCCGCGGCAGCTGTTCCGGTGCGACCGGACACCGCTCGCCGCAGCTCACCAGAACCACTCGCTGCCGAAGCTGGGCACCGAGAACACGCCCCAGTGGATGAAGACGCCGAACTTCGCCTCGTCAAACCAGGCGGGCAGCGGCCGGGCGTCCAGCGAGCCCCAGGTGGGCTCGTAGCGGGGCCGCGCCGGCAGGAGCGCGGGCAGCCCCAGCAGCAGCAGCGGCGGCAGCAGCGCGGCGGGGCCGGACACCCGCGACATGGCGGAGGCGCGGCCGCGGGAAAAAGGCGGCTCCGCAGGGCGGGGGTCGCGGCGCTGCTCGGCCGGGCCGGGCCAGGCCGGTGGAAGGGGGACACGGGCGGGTCTAGGCGGGCTGTCCCCGCCCCAGCGTCCGCCCCGCCGGGCCCGTGGCCCGCCGGCCGGAGGGCAGGCGGTCCGCACGGCCCCGGGTGCCGGGCCCTGGTTGCGCCCCGCCCGGCGCTCAGCCGGCACCGCCGCCCCTGTGCGCCTCCCTCTCCCTGCCTGCCGCCCGGGGTCTTGTCCCCATCGGTGCCGCTTTATCTGCCTGCTCCATCACAGATTGCCCTCTGGATTTTAACGGTTTTAAGCAAATGAAGTAACTGGTTTCTGCCTCGGCCGACATCCCGCCGTACTTCCCTCGGGCCCCGCGGCTCCTCCCCTGGGAGCACCGGCCTCCCCGCAGCGCTCGCTCGAAAGTTCCTGCCGGGGCCTGCTGGATCTACAGCCGGATCCAGGGCTGAGCCTTGGATCTGCAGCCAGAGTCTGCTCCAAAGGCGGCCTCGGCAGCTTGCTGGTTTTGCCCTTCCCGCCTGCTTCCGTCCACAGGCTCAGCTTCCCTGCCCTTCCCAGGAAGGACAGCGTGTAGCGTTCATCGCTCTGCAGCTCCTTCCAGCCGACTTGTACATGGTGGCTTCCAGGGTAGAGAGGTGCCCCAAAGCCTCTCAAGGAGATATTTCTTTGATCATTAGAATGGCCTGTGCTGAAGTGGTCTCGATTCAGTAGATGAAACTTGGCGTTTGTGATGTGGATAACGGGTGGCAGGCACGTACGTTAAAATTTTCAGCAAATTTGTTGCCAGGGCTGGTGCTCGTCCAGTCTTTCCTCATGCCCGAATTCTGTATTTTTGCTTCAACCCCTAGACATCATGGGACAGCCTTTGTAAAATAATTTGGTTTAATCAGCAAATACAAATGGAAATGTCTTTGGCAATGTCATCAGAATAGTTGAAAATGAATGACGAGGCAACTGAATTAATCTCTCTCCAGCTGAGAAGAATGTATACTTTGCTGCTGTTCTATGGAAACAGAGCTTCAGTTTCCAGAACTATTAACCACAGTTGTTATATCTAATTCAAAAAATGTTTAAAGGGCTGTGAAAATAGGATGTGTATGATTTTGTAATATTTTCATTTATATACCTTGATGAATATATTAAGTTACAGGCAAGTAAAAACCATTGTGACTTCCATGGTATTATTCTTTCTGACTGGCTGTTCACATTTCTCTGATTTACAAAAGCACTTTGATATTACAATAGGAGCCTCTTCATATCTCTTTTACATTCAACGTTGACCGACTTTACGTCTTCTTTTGCCTTCACCCTTTTAGATGTCACTTTGCTCCTCAAAAGGAATCTTTAGATGCCTTGACCACTTGCTATGGTATCTTTTCTAGTTTATCTTTCTGTTTCTTCATGTTCTCCTTTTTGATCACACCAAGGGATTGCAGACACTGAGCACCTCCTTAATGTGGGAATTTTCAAGCATACATTCTGAATAGCACAACAAAGTTACAGGTGCTCTGTGGCTCAAAATGTTTGGAAGGAAAAATTATTTAAAAAAAGCTCAGGTGTCTGACCCAAAGCTCACTGACCTGCCATCAACTTCGATGAGGTTTAGAGCAGGAACTGTGTATTTCAATAGTGAAGTTAATCACATCTTTTAAACTTAAAAAAAAATAAATGTGGAAAACAGTAAATAGCAGCCATGAGTACACTTCTAATTAAGGCTTAAACAGGTTCAGAAAATGTCATTAGCCCACACATGCCCAGCCACTGAAATCTCCAGTGAGGGAAAGTCCTCAGTGTACAATCACATCTGTAATGATGCAAGCTGCACAGGGTAAATAACAAAAATAGCACATTGTAAGATTTTGTGAATAACACAAGACTGGTGTCAGCAGCTGCAAAAAGCTCTCTAAGCCTGGGTACAGTGTGCCTGCCTGTGTGACGCTGGAGCCTCTGGGCTCCCATGGGAGCGTCTGTAAGCAGGGAGCTCACTGCTGTGCCCTTCCAGGAGAAGCCCCTGCCTCTCCCTCTCATAGCACAGTCCTGCTGGGAAAGGTCTGTGGCTGAGGAAGGAGCAGGCTGGTCTGTCAGCAGAGGGAAGGAGAGGGAATAATGAAGGCAATTCTCTGGGAGATGCTGAGCAGAAGAGACCTTTTGACCTGACTAATGGCTGACATACGAGACTCCTGTACTGGATCGATTGCTTGGACAAAGGGAAGGGTGCCTGCATCGTGTGACTGCTGGGAAGACTGCAAAACCACTGTGCCTGGGGAGCTGTGTGAGACTCGTCATTGAGAGGAAGGCACTTGCTTGCCTGGGTGGAAGCAGAAACCAGAAACTGAATTTCACATGGACACGTTTCAGACGTGATAGATTTTGATTCAGACATGGGGAGTGGCAGTTGGTAGTTGTGGTAGTTTAATACAGCCTGAATGCAGCTTTCATGTTAGATAGCTGGATGATGCAGCACTGGATGTGTTAAAAATGTGGGGTGCAGTCCTGTCTGTCTTTGCCATTGTGGCTTCAGGACAGCAAGGATTTTATTCAAGGTAGAATATAATATGATTTACCTGTAAAAAGCAGTATAAACATTAAATATCCTTTTAAAGATGCATCTTGTTGTAAAAGTGTTTCTGTAAAATACCAGAAAATGAAAGCACAGAACTTGATTTTGCTTCTGCTTAAGTCTGTGTGACTGATTTGAAAGGCAGGAGAGTACCTTCCTCCATGAGTTAGTGGAGTAAAGCCTCTTGCGTGCAACCCAATCTTTAAGAAAGACGGGGGGAGATATTTGACTCATCGCTCTCCTCGCTCTTTTGCAGGGGTGCGATGCCTTGTGCAACCTCCTGGTTTTGCGGGGGGAGGGGGGAGGGCACCCTATTACACAAAACAGAACTGGCAATGTGGTTTGCTTGGCTCTTTTTAACTGACTCTCTTTTTCTTTTTTTTTTTTCCCCCGAGAGTTGGAAATGACGGGAGCGAGGAGCATGAAGACACCCCGGGGAATGGGGGCATCCGCGCACCTACGCCTCCACTTCGCTTTGCTCCTGTGCAAACACAAATTTTATGTTCCCAGAGACCCAAAAGGTCGACGGCGTCCCTGCGGGGCGGTCAGAGGAGGGAGGCGGCTCTTCCTCTACAAACTTTCCCTGTCCCCTCCCTCGCCGCCTCTCTCTCTCCTCTTCTCTCCTCCCTGCAACTCTCGGCTCCCGGTCGGCGATGGCTGAGAGGCCGGGGAGCAACGGGGCAGCACTGCTGCCCGTCTGGTCCTTGCCCGGTCCCCGCGGCCGCTCCCAAAGCGACATCTCCTCCTTCTCCTCCTCCCGGAGAACCTGTCTGCTGCGGTCCATCGTGGGCGGCTCAGGTAAGGGGGGGGGGGAGGGAGGGAGAGACCTCCGAGCGGAGCTGAACTAAAGAATTTGGGAAAAAACATCCTCCTCCACACCCTGCCCAGCTCTCCCAGACCCAGGACACGGTGGCCAAAGTGTGCGTCTCTGGTTTACATGCTTAATCTACTCCTTAAGATGATGTTCGGAAAGTTCCTGGCTTATCATACCCGTGTTCTCACACCTAAATGAATCCTGGTAACGCCATGAGTACCCACCTGTTTGACAAAGCATCTTTGACTGCAAGGGCAGAAAAGTTCCAGGAAAGCTTCTGGGTGTATTGCCAGGACATCAAAACTTCTCGTCCCACTGCTTCACACATTACACTTCAGCTGCATGTTAGAATTTTACCCCACGCACTTTTATCTGTTTCTTGATTTTCGTTAGTAGGTGAGGCAAAAAAAAAATGTGTAAATCGGTATTCCACCATCTTCCTTTGGGAGGTAACCACTGCAAGTGCCCACGGGATGATATGGGGATGGAAGCTGGACCTTTGGGACAGAGTAGGCTTCCTGCAGGATTCAGAGTAGCTTTGCTGTGTTAAATGAGAGGAATTGAGGGCCCTAGTTTACATTGCAGATATTTGAAAGTGGCCGAAGTCCCTGGGCTGTTCTTTAGTCAGTCTGTTTCCTGAGGTAAGGCATTAAGGAAAATGAAATTCTGGTCTCCATAGGGCTGAGTACATTTTGAAAATGTGTGCTTGCCTGGTTGCAAATCAACCCTGTATTGACTAGAACGAGGCTGTAGGCATATACATCCCTGGTGATGTAGGTACTTTGGATGCACTCTCACACTGCTGCACAGAACTACACCACCATCAGGGAAGCTCCAGAATGCACTGAGAGACTTCTGCTGCTGCAGCACAAATAAGGCACTGCAGTGCATGTTTGAGTCTAAAATGGACCACAATGTCCTCTTATGTTTGCTCCTCAGGGACTCTTAAGATAAAGCAGACCATGTGCTTGGGGAGGCTCAAGTATACAGGCTATGCCTGCCTGATGAGGAGAGTGGGAGTGAAAACTTGCTTAGTCACATAGGAGCAAGTAGATTCAACTTGTGGGGCCAGAGGCTGCAAGCAAAAACAACTCTGTGTGCCAGTTTCTGTATAATTTTTTGCTCTACCTTTTTCTGTGTCTACTTAAAAGTTAGTCCAGAGAAGGACATTTGGGACAGGGAGGAGGGAGGAGATTCCAGTGATTTGTCCAAATCAGAAAGGGCTACTTTTTGGTGTAAGGTGTATTTCAGCACTGCCTGGAATAATATTGCGTGAACAACGCCCTATGACTTGATGTGTACACCCCTGGATCCAGAGAGATTGACACAGAAGGATTGTCACAGAGGTTGACAGGATTGAGACCATATCAATGTTATACTATGTTTTTTGTCGGCTTAACTACAAAGACTGCTAACAATGAGCTGGGTTCATTATGAGAAACTGGCAAATCCAATGGAAGTAAAATGATGGTGTTTTCAAAGATGTGTTGTTATTTGTAGTTTCTTACACACAACATTTAGGCCTCCCTGTTGCCCTTCTTGGTTTTTGAGGATTTGTCACTTCCTGCCAGTAAGTGACAAATGCTGCTTTCTCTGGTTTTTATTTTTTAACGTATTTTCTTTCATTCTGTATTTTCTCCATTGCTGCTTCCTGTATCTTTTTCCAGCTGCTCATTGAATGCAGCAAAAACATATTCTGCAACACAAGTGTTGATTCCCTCTTTAAAAAGGAAAGTATGCATTAAAGATGCAAAGCTGTTTAATTTTTAATGTGGTGGTTAGAGAATTGGTTTTATACTGAGGTGCCATTAAAATAACCTGCTTTTTCATTCCCCCAGTAACCTAGAGAACAACTGTAATGGGGATGGAAATGTGAAGCATTTAGAGAAACAAAAAGAGGCAGTATTTTTTTTCTTCTACTTTTTTCCCTAACCATACCATTTGATTAAAGCAGATCACTCATTTACATCAGATGTTACCTGTGCTCCAGCTGCTGCATTTATAGAACAATTTGCATTTTAAATAACCTGCAAAATGCTTGCTTGCCACCTGTTCCTGGGCTGAATCACTTGCAACTGTTGAAGTCACAAGTTGCAGTTTCTGTTGCATATTTGTCTTCATTTTCTAGATCCTGACACCAGTTCTGCTGAGAAGACGTTGTTTCCTCTCACACCATCAGTGATAGGTTGCTGCCCCATAGGTGGTTCACACTGTCATTTATTTTACCACCTCCTAATTCACCATTCTCAATGCGGGATCTGTGAAGAGGCAATATTTTTAGAGACTCTTCTAGCTAACAGATATATAATAGATTTTTTAAAGCAACTTTGGCAGCAGCTCATAAAATTCATCTGTTTGTTATTCTAGGTCAGTACTATATGTATCTTGATAGTGCAGTGAGGCTGGTCAGGTGGTCCCCATGTTTATACTGTCTGTGCTTTCTTACCACCAGTTCTTCTTCTGCTATTCTTACACATTGACAGAAGCAACTTCCTGGTATCACTTTATAGCATCTCATTTCATTAGCTGCCATCAAGTATGTGAGGACAATATATTTTCAGGATTTTCTTCTTAAATCTGGCCTTTTCTTTTAGTGTTAGTAGTAGAAGATTACTTAATTTCTCTCTCTGGGCTCTCACCTTAGCTGTTATTTTGTGAGAGCTTTACCTTCCAACTCTTTTTTTATTTCTTGTAACCCCTAGGAAGAATAAGGTGAACCTCATCATGAGTAAAAGTGGCATGACCTGGAATTTTGATTTAGACCCTGAAAAAGTGCAATGTCAGCAAAGTTCAAAGGCAGCATACCTCTAGTTTGTTGTGGTGGGCATAGCCTGTGCATCACTTCGATGTCGTGGTACGCCCCACCTGACAACTGGCTGGTTTGCTAGAGCATCTAAAGGAGACTGGTGAAGAAAAACTTACTCTCCTAAATTTCAGAGCAACACCAGAGGCACTTGAAGAAAGCTGCTTGAATTACATACCTTTAAGCAGCCTTCCATGTTTAGTGACTAGATTTAAACCCACTTTAAAGGTGAATCAAGTTAGTCAATTTTCTTGATTTGCCCAGCATAGATGGGGACTGAACTGCAATTGAAACAAAGACCTTGCTCAGATGCTTTCCCAGAGCTCTTCCAAACTCTAGATTGTGTGGTTATGGGGCTGAAGGTAGCTCTCAGCATGAGTGGTGAGTTCTGGGGTGCAGGGTGGAGGAGGTGTGCTGTTTCATATCAGCCACCTCTGTGCTCCGGTTGTGAAGCGGAGACAGCGGTTCTCTTTGTGACAGCCCTCAGGCACCAACCTCAACTGCTGCGGTGCCCATTCTTTATCTTCATGTCCGCCTAGACAGTTTTGAGTTTGCTCTCTTTTTAGTGTTGTGGGTTTTGCTATACAGCCTTGCATTTTGTTCCGAAGGCAGTGAGGTCTGTGTTGAGGTACATCTTGGTGAAAAGGGAACTTTACTGCTCAGACCAGAAGTCAAAAAACCACCCATCTCTACTCTGGGATTGACATTGTCATATTGTTGCAGTTCCTCCTGAGGTCTTGCTCTTTAGCAAGAAGGAGAAGTTTCAGATAATTTGTTCCATTAGTAAGAAATGCACCTTTCAGATAGAGAGGTGAGCTCCTCATGTATGTTTCCATTCTTTTCACTGTTTTTTTTTGAGCCTTTCTAATGTCAGACAAAAAAAACCTACCTGAGAATTCAGACAGCAATTCATCAATACCTCAGGCTATACCCCAGATGTTGGGTTGCAGAAGAGAGTGAGAGCCAGAGTGCAAATGACAGTCCTGCCTCAAAACTTGTACATGCCAAGATTATTTTCGGAATTTTTGCGGGTTAATTTATTCAAAATGATAATGAGTAACAGCTACGAAGCCATCTGCTGCTGACTCCAGAATAGAGTGAGCAAAAAGATGGCTTAAAATCCCCCAATTAAGTGAAGAACTGGGGAAGCTTTCATGTAGTGATCAGGGCATCAAACTGGCTGATATTAGATGAGAAAAAAATTGAGGATTTTTGGACTTATTTTAGCTTTTCATTGTTAGAGTGCTCCACGTTGTAAACTTAAAAAATGTCAGATACTCTTCTTAATGGACAAACTTTCTGGTTGATGCAAAGGAAGCATTTTTGACAGCGGAGGGTATTTGACAATCTAGAAATGGTGAAATCCAAAATACTCATAATCTAGACATTGACCTGATTATCTGGGGGCATGGAATCTAGGGAAAAAAGTAAATTTTGCATGAGTAGGTAGGTAGCTGTTAACCTTTGCCTGTATTTCCCACTGTACTTGTACTCATATTTCCCCAAATGGCTACAGATTCCAGTTTCCTTATTCATCAAGTCCTACCAAGGTCTATGGGAGTTGAATTCAGCATTTGTGAAGAAGACATCAGATGTGCGTTGTGAGGGCGGTGAGAAAGATAGTGTTTCTCAGTTCTAAGATGGAATTGATGAGGGAGAAGATTGATGCTGTGAGAGAATACCATTACTGAAGCAGCTGATGTTGGTATATTGAGTGAAAATATGGGAGTTATAGGAAAATATCATTCTCCATTGTATCAAGCAAGACTTGTTTACAACATAAATTGAAGTACAGAATTTTGCAAGAAGACTAAGGCAGATAATCTGAGGTAGAAAACTATAGTAGAAATTAAAACAAGTAATAATTTTGAGTGATTTAGAAACTAGACTCAACACGGCTGTATCATTTCCAAGAGACTCTGTATCCTGTCTCTAAGTCTGCTTTATTATTTTTCATCAATTTGCAAATTTGAAGTATCAAGAAGAGGCAGCAAACATAACCATATGAAATTTGACATATGCTTATAGAATTAAAGCATTTATTTTTTATAATAATCTGCTTAGACCATCGTCTAATGTTAAATTCCATCCTGGTCAACCTTATATGTAACTTCAGACTGATGCTGAGGAAAAATCCAGGAATCTTAGAACATTTTGTACTGCATACATTGACAAAGTTCA